GTTATATAGGTATCCAGTGTTTATTTTACCATAGTGACAACAGTACAGCTATATAGATATCCAGTGTTTATTTGACCATTGTGACAACAGTATAGTTATATAGGTATCCAGTGTTTATTTTACCATAGTGACAACAGTATGGTTATATAGGTATCCAGTGTTTATTTTACCATTGTGACAACAGTACAGTTATATAGGTATCCAGTGTTTATTTTACCATTGTGACAACAGTACAGTTATATAGGTATCCAGTTTTTATTCATAGTTTGAAGATACATGCAAGTCACCGTAAGTGGTCTTATGAATTTGGGAAAATAGGCTAGTATGTTATCATGTCAGCATGCATAAGATGGTTACTTTCCCCTTGTCTCCGCGCTTATTGTGTAAACAAGGACATTTTAGCATGTTGTGACCCTTTAGAGTGATTGGGGTGTGGACATTTTCAAGTTGGCAAAAGTTCAGAAATCTCTTTATTCCATCTATCTATAAGCAGCATTATCTATAAAAAATAGTTGTGTGTTGATATTTATATGCTAATTTACTCAACTTGAAAAGCACCAATATTCTATAGTGTAAAAGATTTCCACTTTTACAGAAATTGATTTTGTTTGGCCTGTCTATGGAAGGGTAGGCTTTCTTCTGAAGCACTTTTAATGATTTGTACTGTTGTTATTATTATTAGTCAGTAAAATTTATCATTATTGTTTTACCTACAGCACTGTCTGATATAGCTACCTGTTACCATTCCAACTTGGCCATTTACCAACAATGTCCGCAACCACCCCAAGTACAAAGACACCGAGAGCTCGTCCGTCTCTCAGCTCCGGAGCTCTGCAGACAGATCGTAGCATTGGTATGGACACGGAGGATGAGGACATTCAACTTGACCAGGTTCAGCAGATACACCAAAATGTCAGGGACACAACGGTGCAGGCAGAACAACAGGTACTACAGTACTGCAGTTGATTTATCTAAAGGGCACTGAGTGCAAAATAGCCGATTTCCTGACGTGAGCCATCTTCTCCATTTAGTTGAAGTGCTTCAAGCTTCAGTTTGCTTATCGGCTAATGTGATAAGGTAATGGGATAAAGTGCAAGGTGATATGTATCAAAAATGGATATGATACAAATTCAATTTTGAACATTTTGAAATATGTTTTTATCATTTAAACACATCACTTTCAGCTGACCTTCAAGTAAAATACTGTTTTAAAGACAGCTTGTGAGTGCTCAGATCACAATATTAATTCAATAATATTGATTAAATACACAAGATCATTTTAAGGTTATTTATTATCATATTAGTTCTAACAAGCCTGGGCAGTTATTGCAGTTTCACAGCAGCAAAGACTTTTTCGTTATTTGATAGTATTAGACTTGAGTGAGGATTTGTCAAAAGTCTCACTAAATAAACAAAATTAAATCTTCACACGCTTAGGTTGATTTGTTATAAGCTCCATCAAACAGTCAAGAGCTGACAGGAAGTTTGGGCCCCAATCAGGGGAAACAGGCATCCTGGGGACACTCGTGTGTGTGTCCTCCCTGGCTCTAGGCCAGCAGAAGTAGGATATTGTCCTCCGGGTTCAGGAAGTACTCCACCAGCCATCAATAATAGTTATCAGACAAAAAGGTACTCACTTAGTATTTAAACTCCAGCAACCATTAAAAACAATTATCATCAACAGCTGTCCAATAACGGTTATCAAATAAAGATATTCACTATAACGGTTATCAAATAAAGATATTCACTATAACAGTTATCACATAAGATGTTCACTATAACAGTTATCACATAAAGATATTCACTATAACACTTATCACATAAAGATGTTCACTATAACAGTTATCACATAAAGATGTTCACCATAACAGTTATCACATAAAGATATTCACTGTAACAGTTATCACATACAGATATTCACTATAACAGTTATCACATAAAGATGTTCACTATAACAGTTATCACATAAAGATGATCACTATAACGGTTATCACATAAAGATATTCCCTTTAACAGTTATCACATAAAGATATTCACTATAACAGTTATCACATAAAAGGTTCTCAAAAGGTTCTCTCAACCTAGGCAGTTATACAATGGCAATCAACAACAGTTATTACAAAAACGGGCCACGGTGGCCAAGTGGTTAAGGCGTCTGACATTCTGCTTCCACTAGCCCTCCATCACTGGGTCGCGGGTTCAAGGCCTACGTGGGGCAGTCGCCAGGTACTGGCCGTAGGTCGGTGGTTTTTCCCGGGGTACTCCAGCTTTCCTCCACCAGGAAAACCTGGCACATCCTTATATGACCATAGCTGTTAATAGGACGTAAAACACAAACAAACCTAACCAGTTCTTACAAAAAGGTGCTCCCAATGGAGTTATTCAACAGCCATCGATGGTATCACCAATTGTTACTTACATGTGACTGCCATGTTAACTTAAACAGATAATGCTTTGTATGCTGACATGCTGTGATGTTGACATATTGATGTGATTGTTGATTTGCTGACAAATACACATTGGTGGATTGGTGTGGATGTGTAATAATGTTGACATAATACTGTCTCTGTTGACAGGTGTATATGGTGTGGTCTGTGTTATGATGTTGTCATAATACTGTGTCTGTTGACAGGTGTACCTGGTGTGGTGTGTGTTATGATGTTGACATAATGCTGTATCTGTTGACAGGTGCACATGGGTGTGATGTGTGTTATGATGTTGACATAATGCTGTATTTGTTGACAGGTGCACATGGGTGTGGTGTGTGTTATGATGTTGACACAATGCTGTATCTGTTGACAGGTGCACATGGGTGTGGTGTGTGTTATGATGTTGTCATAATGCTGTATCTGTTGACAGGTGTACATGGGTGTGGTGTGGCAGGCTGGGAAACTAGGACTGGCTTACTATGATATAGACACCACACAGATCTACATGATGCTAGACACTGTGGAAACAGATGAATTCACCATGTTGAAGAGAGGTAAGGTTTCACACTGTTAATTCAAAGTAGTCTGGAAAGGCTGTATGGTACTTTGACACAATAATAATTTGTAGTTATCTGAAATTTATGTTTTTAACATCAAGGAAACAATCAAGTAACAACTGTTGTATATTCTACAAGACGATCATTTACCTTTTTTCTGTAAAAAATCCTGAAGATGAAAGTTTATTTGTGAAGTGAACTACACAAAAGGTTTGCACAACTTAACACATTTGACATGCTTATATCTTCAAGTTGGGCCAAAAAATACCATGATTTTCAATAATATTTTCGAATGCTCGGAATAAATTTCAAATTCCAAGGTCTGTTAATTGTAAGGTTTGTAACTTCATTTTGCTGATTGATGATGTTTCAGTCCTGAGACAGATACCACCAGTGTGTGTGGTCATTGGTACCAAACAAGATGAGCGTTTGATAAAAACGCTGAAGACACTTTGTAAGTATTTAGTTAAAATGTTTCTGTTGTTATAAAGTAATGGTATAGGGTACAATATCATACTTGCCAACTCTCCCGGTTTTGGAGGCAGACTCCCGTTTTTGGACCCTTAAATTTAGTATTTTCAACCAGTGAATTTGCTCAACTATTCATATTGTCTAAGATCTGATGATTTCATCTGAAAGAAGAGCTCAAAACATACAATTTAAAAGGGTTAATTTCCCCTAGGGTGTACATACATACATTATAAATATCTATCCTTTCAATTCTGAGCATGCGCAATCTCCCTCATGGATATTTCAAAACGTTTGCAAGTATGCATTATCGTTAACTTATAAAAAAGGAAATCTCTAATTCCAGTATTTGTTACTTTGCGTATAACATGAGATTTATCAAACTACTGTATGTGAACCGTCCATGCATTGGTGTTGCCAATACTTGATAATAGATATACCAGTTTAGGTATTTAAGACATGGATAATCTTAACATCCGTCAAGTCCTTCCTGGATCACAGGACATGAATTAAATCATACAAATAATCCAGATAACTGTTTCCCCTATTAATTCACGAGGGAAGCTGAATGAATTAAATCATACAAATAATCCAGATAACTGTTTCCCCTATGAATTCATGAGGGAAGCTGAATGAATTAAATAATACAAATAATCCAGATAACTGTTTCCCCTATTAATTCATGAGGGAAGCTGAATGAATCAAATATAAATACAAATAATCCAGATAACTGTTTCCCCTATTAATTCACGAGGGAAGCTGAATGAATCAAATAAAAATACAAATAATCCAGATAACTGTTTCCCCTATGAATTCACGAGGGAAGCTGAATGAATTAAATAATACAAATAATCCAGATAACTGTTTCCCCTATAAATTCATGAGGGGAGCAGCTTGTGAATTCAAATATTTCTGAAGGTTTCTTGTGGTACATTTAAAATAGCATCATATGTCTGTTAATTTGCCCGTTGAGAATAAATTATTTGAAGCACAGTCACAAAAACATGATACTGGATTGTCCTTCCTGTTACAGTGGTAACCAGGGTAGACCAGGAGGATCCTGATGCTGATCGGGAATGGTCAGATTCTGATGTAGTGAAGCTACTACCCAGTGTTGACTTCAGTAAGTATTGTCATAGAGTACTCATTTCTTCCTTTTTATATGACACCAGCTCAAAATCTATTTGCCTTTTCCTGTTTGACATTTGCATTATGACACTGATTTTGGTTTGCTAGTCTATGTAGTTGATTTTGGTGATTTTCCAGGTTTGGACATCTGTAAAAGACGACTGCTGCACTTAAACCTGCCCTCCATCCCCAAACACTATACAGAGACAGAGAAGACCCTGTACCTGTCCTCTCTCGTCCCATTCGACAATGTTTCTATGGTACTGTGTTTTTGAAATATAAATATTATCTTGAGAGGAATTTCATCTCACAATGCATATGATTATATTTGTTAAGGAGAAACATCTTAAAGTGTAATCTGTTTGACGATGATGCTTCCATCCTGTGTTAGACAATGCTGTTGACTACCTGTGTTAGACAATACTGTTGACTACCTGTGTTAGACAATGCTGTTGACCACCTGTGTTAGACAATGCTGTTGACTACCTGTGTTAGACGATGCTGTTGACTACCTGTGTTAGACGATGCTGTTGACTACCTTTGTTAGACAATGCTGTTGACTACCTTTGTTAGACAATGCTGTTGACTACCTGTGTTAGGCAATGTTGTTGACTACCTGTGTTGGACAATGCTGTTGACTACCTATGTTAGACGATGCTGTTGACTACCTGGGTTAGACGATGCTGTTGCCTACCTTTGTTAGACAATGCTGTTGCTTGATGATGCTGTTGACTACCTGAGTTAGACAATGCTGTTGTTTGATGATACTGTTGACTACCTGGGTTAGACGATGCTGTTGACTACCTGAGTTAGACAATGCTGTTGTTTGATGATGCTGTTGACTACCTGAGTTAGACAATGCTGTTGACCACATGTGTTAGACAATGCTGTTGACTACCTGTGTTAGACAATGCTGTTGTTTGATGATGCTGTTGACTACCTGTGTTTGATTACAGGTAAGAGCCACTGGTGGTCTATTAAAGTACCTTGAGAAAATGAGGATTGGTGTGGAGTTGGAAGACAACATTGTTGGAGTACCTGTCCTTGACCTTCGTTGTTTCTCTCTGTAAGTACCCTCTGTCCTTGACCCTTGACCTCAAAATTTAAATCTCACATGAAGGACTCACCTGTCCTTGACCTTACTTTGCATTTTCAGGGTTAGTATGTACCTGTCCTTGACCCGAAGTGTTTCTTGCTGTAGGTACTCACCTGTCCTCAGTGTCAAGTCTTTCACTTTGTAAAAGACTTTTATTAGCTCACCGGGTCCGAAGGACCAAGGTGAGCTTATGCCATACCGTGGCGTCCGTCGTCCGTCCGTCAACAATTTCTTTAAACGACTTCTTCTTCTTAACCACTGATTGGAATTTAACTAAATTTGACTGGAAGCATCCCTAGGTGGTGGGGATTCAAAATTGTACAAATGGTAGGGCTGACCCCCCCAGGGGGCTGAGAGGCGGGGCAAAAAGGGGGCAATTTGGCTATATTGCCTTAAGCGACATCTCCTCTGGAACTAAGAAATGGATATCAACCACATTTGACTGGAAGCATCCCTAGGTGGTGTGGATTCAAAATTGTACAAATGGTTGGGCTGACCCCCCAGGGGGATGAGGGGCGGGGCCAAAAGGGGGCATTGTGGCTATATTGCTACAAACGACTTCTTCTGTAGAACTCTGCACTGGATATCAATCATATTTAATCAGAAGCATTCATGGGAGGCAGGGATTCAAAATTGTACAAATGGTGTGTCTGAGCCCGTGGCGGCTGAGGGGCGGGGCCAAAAAGGGTTATTTAGCTATATTACTTTAATCGACTTCTTCTCTGGAACTAAGAGATAGATATCAACCATATTTGACAGGAAGCATCCCTAGGTGGTGGGGATTCAAAATTGTACAAATGGTGGGGCTGACCCCCCAGGAGGCTGAGGGCTGGGCCAAAAGGGGGCAATTTGGCTATATTGCTATAAACAACTTCTTCCGTAGAACTATACCATGGATATTGATCATATTTGGTCGGAAGCATTCATGGAAGGCAGGGATTCAAAATTGTACAATTGGTGGGGCTGACCCCCCGGGCTAAGGGGTGGGCCAAAAAAAATGTATTACTTGGAAATGGTTGAGATCCCCACTATATAACCATATATATAATTGCTGAGTATAAAGAGAGGAATGCACATTTGCTTCCAGGATGGCCCTAGGGTCTGGCCCCACCCTTGGATACTTAACCCCTGGGTCATAACTTTGAAACGGTTAAGATTCCCACCCCAAAACTATATGTTCAATTGTTGGGCATAAAGAGACGAATGCAGTCATGATATTAGAATTGACCCAGGGTCTGCCCCACCCTTGCAGACATAACCCCTGGGTCATAACTTTGAAACGGTTGAGATCCCCAACCCAAAACTATATATACAAACGCTGGGCAAAAAGAGACAAATGCAGTCATGATATTAGAATTGATCCTGGGGTCTGGCCACAACCCTAGGGACCTAGTTTCTGAGTCACAGTTTGGAAACAGTTGAGATCCCCACCCCATAACCATACATAAAATTGTGGGGCATAAAAAATGAAATACAGATATGCTACAAGGATTGGCCTTGGGGTCTGGCATATTCCCTTGGATTTCATTTGGAGAATATTTTGCCATGATTGCTTAGATATCCAGGTGAGCGATACAGGCCCTCGGGGCCTCTTGTTTAATGTACAGTACTAGTATTAACACAGAGATTTCCGAAAGAAACCATTTTCCTTATGCTTTGCTGCCATTGTTGTATAAAGGTTTTTTTACTCATTTTTCAGGGGTGATCAGATGGTACTAGATGACACAGCCTATAGGTGAGTCTTTATTATTAAGTCAACTAATTTTGTTTTCAACTTTTGCCAGAAAATGGTACAAAAAGAAGAATAAATTTAATGGAAATAAAGAGATGTGTGCCAGAAGTAAAAGGATTCTTTTCCTGCAAAATAAGACTAAAGTAACAAGTCCAAGTCGGTGAGATATGGTCATTTATGGTCAATTATGGTCATTTGCAACATTTTCAGTTTAAGTTCTTTATTCGTTTGATTCAATACATTTGATCATGATCATCCATCCTACCTGAGGTTAGTAGTGTACTTTAACAACATTTTACTCTGGGTTTTTTATTGGGATAAAGTTCACATGCACATTTTGTTGTGTAGAGACACGCTAATCCAGCCACCTTAATTACCTGTAAATAATCCAGCCATCTTCATTCTCAAAACTCAAGATAACCAAGCCACAGTTGTTCTCGATAGATAACCCAGCCACAGTTGTTCTCAATAGATAATCCAGCCACAGTTGTTCTCAATAGATAACTCAGCCACAGTTGTTCTCAATAGATAACCCAGCCACAGTTGTTCTCGGTAGATAACCCAGCCACAGTTGTTCTCAATAGATAATCCAGCCACAGTTGTTCTCAATAGATAACTCAGCCACAGTTGTTCTCAATAGATAACCCAGCCACAGTTGTTCTCGATAGATAACCCAGCCACAGTTGTTCTCAATAGATAATCCAGCCACAGTTGTTCTCAATAGATAACTCAGCCACAGTTGTTCTCAATAGATAACCCAGCCACAGTTGTTCTCGATAGATAACCCAGCCACAGTTGTTCTCAATAGATAATCCAGCCACAGTTGTTCTCAATAGATAACTCAGCCACAGTTGTTCTCAATAGATAACCCAGCCACAGTTGTTCTCGATAGATAACCCAGCCACAGTTGTTCTCAATAGATAATCCAGCCACAGTTGTTCTCAATAGATAACTCAGCCACAGTTGTTCTCAATAGATAACCCAGCCACAGTTGTTCTCGATAGATAACCCAGCCACAGTTGTTCTCAATAGATAATCCAGCCACAGTTGTTCTCAATAGATAACTCAGCCACAGTTGTTCTCAATAGATAACCCAGCCACAGTTGTTCTCGATAGATAACCCAGCCACAGTTGTTCTCAATAGATAATCCAGCCACAGTTGTTCTCAATAGATAACTCAGCCACAGTTGTTCTCAATAGATAACCCAGCCACAGTTGTTCTCGATAGATAACCCAGCCACAGTTGTTCTCAATAGATAATCCAGCCACAGTTGTTCTCAATAGATAACTCAGCCACAGTTGTTCTCAATAGATAACCCAGCCACAGTTGTTCTCGATAGATAACCCAGCCACAGTTGTTCTCAATAGATAATCCAGCCACAGTTGTTCTCAATAGATAACTCAGCCACAGTTGTTCTCAATAGATAACCCAGCCACAGTTGTTCTCGATAGATAACCCAGCCACAGTTGTTCTCAATAGATAATCCAGCCACAGTTGTTCTCAATAGATAACTCAGCCACAGTTGTTCTCAATAGATAACCCAGCCACAGTTGTTCTCGATAGATAACCCAGCCACAGTTGTTCTCAATAGATAATCCAGCCACAGTTGTTCTCAATAGATAACTCAGCCACAGTTGTTCTCAATAGATAACCCAGCCACAGTTGTTCTCGATAGATAACCCAGCCACAGTTGTTCTCAATAGATAATCCAGCCACAGTTGTTCTCAATAGATAACTCAGCCACAGTTGTTCTCAATAGATAACCCAGCCACAGTTGTTCTCGATAGATAACCCAGCCACAGTTGTTCTCAATAGATAATCCAGCCACAGTTGTTCTCANAGCCACAGTTGTTCCCCGTAGATAACCCAGCCACAGTTGTTCCCCGTAGATAACCCAGCCACAGTTGTTCCCCGTAGATAACCCAGCCACAGTTGTTCTCAATAGATAACCCAGCCACAGTTGTTCCTGGTAGATAACCCAGCCACAGTTGTTCTCTGTAGATAACCCAGCCACAGTTGTTCCCGGTAGATAATCCAGCCACTGTTGTTCTTGTTAGATAATCCAGCCACAGTTGTTCTTGGTAGATAACCCAGCCACAGTTGTTCCCGATAGATAATCCAGCCACAGTTGTTCTTGGTAGATAATCCAGCCACAGTTGTTCTTGGTAGATAACCCAGCCACAGTTGTTCTTGGTAGATGACCCAGCCACAGTTGTTCTCGGTAGATAACCCAGCCACAGTTGTTCTCGGTAGATAACCCGGCCACAGTTGTTCTCGGTAGATAACCCAGCCACAGTTGTTCTTGGTAGATAACCCAGCCACAGTTGTTCTTTGTAGATAACCCAGCCACAGTTGTTCTCGGTAGATAACCCAGCCACATTTGTTTTCGATAGATAACCCAGCCACATTTGTTCCCCATAGATAACCCAGCCACAGTTGTTTTCTGTAGATAACCCAGCTACAGTTGTTCCTTGTGGATAACCCAGCCACAGTTGTTCTCGTTAGATAATCCAGCAACAGTTGTTCTTGTTAGATAATCAAGCCACAGTTGTTCCCCGTAGATAACCAAGCCACAGTTGTTCTTGGTAGAGAACCCAGCCACAGTTGTTCACCGTAGATAAACCAGCCACAGTTGTTCCCCCAAGATAACCCAGCCACAGTTATTCTCAATAGATAATCAAGCCACAGTTATTCTCAGTAGATAACGATAATCCAGCCACAGTTGTTCCCGCTAGATAACCCAGCCACATTTGTTCTCGTTAGATAATCCAGCAACATTTGTTCTTGTTAGATAATCAAGCCACAGGTGTTCCCCGTAGATAACCCGGCCACAGTTGTTCTCGGTAGATAACCCGGCCACAGTTGTTCCCCCTAGGTAACCCAGCCACAGTTGTTCCCCGTAAATACCCCAGCCACAGTTGTTCCCGATAGATAATCCAGCCACAGTGGTTCTTGGTAGATAATCCAGCCACAGTTGTTCTTGGTAGACAACCCAGCCCCAGTTGTTCTTGGTAGATGACCAAGCCACAGTTGTTCTATGTAGATAACCCAGCCACAGTTGTTCTCGGTAGATAACCCGGCCACAGTTGTTCTCGGTAGATAACCCAGCCACAGTTGTTCTTGGTAGACAACCCAGCCCCAGTTGTTCTTGGTAGATGACAAAGCCACAGTTGTTCTATGTAGATACCCCAGCCACAGTTGTTCTCGGTAGATAACCCAGCCACATTTGTTTTTCGATAGATAACCCAGCCACATTTGTTCCTTGTGGATAACCCAGCCACAGTTGTTCTCGATAGATAACTCAGTCACAGTTGTTCTCGGTAGATAACCCAGCTACAGTTGTTCTCAATAGATAACCCAGCCACATTTGTTCCTTGTGGATAGCCCAGCCTCAGTTGTTCTCAATAGAAACCCCAGCCACAGTGGTCCCCGGTAGATAACCCAGCTACATTTGTTCTCAATAGATAATCAAGCCACAGTTGTTCCCTGTAGATAACCGAGCCACAGTTGTTCTCTATAGATAACCCAGCCACAGTTGTTCTCAATAGATAATCAAGCCACAGTTGTTCCCTGTAGATACCCGAGCCACAGTTGTTCTCTATAGATACCCCAGCCACAGTTGTTCTCAATAGATAATAAAGCCACAGTTGTTCTCAATAAATAATCAAGCCACAGTTGTTCTCTGTAGATAACCCAGCTGCAGTTGTTCTCGGTAGATAACCCAGCCACAGTTGTTCCCGGTAGATAACCCAGCCACAGTTGTTCTCTGTAGATAACCCAGCCACAGTTATTCTCT